ATTGTCGTCGATGCGGACGCCGGAGCTGCGGGTGCGCGCGCTGACAGGCGTGTCCTGGGGCTCCGGCTTGACGGGGCGGAGGCAGGGAGAGCCCGACGAGCGGCCGGACGAGGAGGAGGACGCCCTGGGCCGCTCCATGCGCCTCGGCGTCTAGGAGCTTCCACGGCGGCGTGAGAAGGACGGGGGAGCGGGGTACTCGAGGCGCGGCGTGTTGCCGCCCTCAATGTACTCGAGGACGGCCTCCCACGTGCGGCCGGGCATGCCCCACCACCGACGCCGGCCATCGGAGTTGAGCCTGCCGGAGGGCACGACGCCGTTGGTGGCCTCGAACTGCTCGGCGTGACGGCGTCGGAAGTAGGGCTCCCAGAGCGGGCTATCGGGGACGTACCGTGGCCCCTCCCTCGCTGCCGCGGCAGGGACGCGCAGATACGTGCGATCTCCGCACGCCGCGCTGCCCCGGTAGGTGGTGGTGGCACCGGCACGCCGCCGGCGCTAATCCTCCAAGCCCCGGGCACCCGCATGTCTGGCGGGACCGGGTACTCGGCCTCGAAAAGGAGGCGAGCCTCGTCCTCGTGAAGATGGCGACGCCCGAAGCCATTCGCCGCCGCGCCGTCGCCTGAAAAGCGCTCGGCCATTCTAATGGACTGGAGACGGCGAGAGGAGGAAGGGGGAGAAATGGGCGCGTCGGCGGTGGAGTGTCTGTGCGTGCCTCCGGCGCGCTGGTGGTCGGCTTATATAGGCGGAGGCGCCGCGTGGTAGGCTTGGCCGGCGCGTTACGCGTGGCTTGATGGCATGCCGACCGAGGGGACGCGCGTCGCCCGGCCTTCACTGCCCCGCCCGTGAGGCATCAATGGAGGCTGACCGGCGCGGCAGCGCGCAGCGTGCAGCTTTGGCATTGATTCGCCGCGGGAAACGAGGCGATGAGGACGACGAAGCGGCGAGAAGAGAGTCGAGTTGCTGACGCGGCTGGCCTCGGCTCTTCGCGCCAAAAAAGATTCGCCCGGCGCCCCTGAGCGACCCCCAGTGCGTCGGGTTTGGGTTGGGTCCGCCTGCGTCAATTTCGATCCGAACCAGCGAAAACTGGGCCCTTGGGGGCGCGACTGGGCCGATTTTTTGACGCCGGCGGCCGAAAAATCGCCGGGGGGTCTTTTTAGGGGCGCGGATGGAGATGCTCTAAACATCAATGATTTGCTACTACTTTGCTTATGAACAGTATATATATAGTGATCATTTGCTGCTAAAAAGCTCAGTCCCTTTCAATGTTTAGCTCTTCCCAACCTATTTTAACATCGCTTGGTCCCCCTAGTTCAGAAAATTCTGGCCCCGCCACTGCATGTACTATTTTGCCATGCAACATTTACAAGGTTAATCAAGAGATCACATGCATGCCCTAATCCATGTGCATATTTTTTTTTCTTGTGCACCCTGCACTTAAGGAAAATCTTTCACGTCAAAAATTAATTGTAGGGTTAGTCACATAAGAGTGGGAAATAAAGAAAAAAAAATCAACCCGTGATTCTTTTTTGTTTTCTTTAATACCATTCAAGAGTAATTTTTTTTTTTGCCAAGAACCATCAAGAGTATTTAACTTCCCTTTTTCGATACAAAATCGTGTCGAACAAGTTGTACTAAGTACTAAAGTTAAAGTTATACTAAATTTAAGACACTTATTTTGAGATGGAGGGAGTATGTATCTATATTTACTTTATCCGGTAACTAAACATCAGAATTTTCATCTATGATCATCTGTATGCACCCACCTTGTCTTCCTAAAGTTGCACCATCATAGCATATTAATTTTATAATCGTGGTTATGCAATACAGTAGCAAAAGAAATGTAGAACTTCTACAATCATAGTAAGATGCTAAATTTCTAGATCATGGTGATGGCCGGCGGCTTCGCTATATACCTAACAACAATATAGCGAGCGTGCATGGATTTGTATAAAATGTACTTTGAGATTGATCGGGAGAAAGAAATACAACAACCAACCACTGAAGAGCAACTTGAATGACCAACTGAGATGCCTTCAAGCATGCAAGGAGGGAGAGCTCCGAAGGGAAGCCGAAGCCGCCGAACAAATGGCCAACCCCCTAGCGAGAGGAAATATACTTTTTAATGTGAAAAAGACAATAACATTAAAAGCGTACTCTTCTAGCAAGAACCGTTGCGCAAGATCGGACGGGCGAATAATTCAACCGAAACCGAATTGTTTCCAGCTGGATAAAAATTAGCAATTCTGGAAGAAAGGAAACACGGTCACAAGGGGATTGCTCATGAATTAGCATCAGGTAGGTCATTGCTTCACGAGAGAACTAGCTACCACATTGTTATGGTTAATTTGTCCCAATCACCTACCAAATGCTGAGATCATAGCCTCATGTTGTCAACACTGGCATGGAGATATTTTGCTGAGTCTTTTAGTAAAAGGAAAGGAAAAGCGGGGTAGTAGAGTGGTGTTTAATTCTAGCCTACTTCTTGGCCTTTTAATTTTCTATTGACCATACCTTATAAAGTCGTTTTAGGAAGCTAAAACTTCATAAGGTTGTTCAGTCATCAAAGTTATGTGGCTCATATGCTTTAAAATTATCTTTTTGTGCATTCTAAAAAAAGTTGTGCACAGAAAATCCCAATTAACTATTATAATGCTTTGCAATTATATATACATATATATATACACAAAAGCTGACTTAATTGGTTATTATTCTTTACAGTTTCCTCCAGAACCAAAAGGAAAAAAGAAAGAAAGAAAGAAAGAAATGATCAAACCACATTGTGGCAGGTAAGGCTTGGTTTCCATTGGACCTGCCTGTTCTCCACCCACGCCAAGAATCTGTAAACCTTCCCAAATACACACAAGAACACCAGCCCGGCGACGAGCCCGTACACGACCGCGCTCGCCATGGCGCCCTCGGCAATCACCCAGCCGGCGAGGTACACGGCGTCGCAAGACACGAAAAGCCAGCCCGCGGCCTCCAGCGCCGACCGCGTCCACGCGCTCAGCCGCTCCTCGCCGTAGATCCGGCACACCATCCTGGAGCAGAGCGCGAAAATGACGGCCAGCGCTGTCTTGGACAAGCCCCGGTAGAGCACCGTCCGGCCGCCCACGAGCAGCGGCTCCATCCGGCAGAGGCAGGTGGCGCACTTGCCGGAGAACCGCGACCACCGGAGCGCGTCCGTGCCCGTGTAGTAGGGCAGCACGACGGCGTCCAGGTAGAGGCTCGCGTGCAGGATCCCGGACACGGTGGACGCCTCGAGCACGGCGTAGCGCACGTCCCCGTCGGCCTCGTTCCGGAACGCCAGCGCCGACGCCTGCAGCGTGAGCAGCAATGCCGGGCCGAGCCGCGAAAGCGGGAAGACGGCGTTGATCCGCTGCCCCTTGGCGAGCACCAGCAGCACCAGCGGCATCATGAAGGGCCCCGACGGCACCAGGTACTTCCGCTTGATCCGCCCGACGCCACCGGCCGCCGTCGCCGAGCCACCGCCGCCGCCAGCCCTGACGATCTCTACCACGGTGAAGGCCGCCGCGGACAGGAGGCAGTAAAGGGCCAAAACGGCGACGAGGACGCCGACGGCAGCCGAGTAGTCGCCCGGGTAGGAGCTGTCGCAGTAGTAGTGGTAAGGGCAGGTGATGAGGTCGGTGGTCTCCTCCAGCTGCCACCTGGTGCACTTGACGATCTGCCTCGTGATGTTGCTTCCATGGCCGCTCCACGCGCTCGCCGCCGCCGCCTTCCCGCCACCGCCAAGAACAGAGAGCACCTGATCGTACGACATGGCCGCCACCGGATCAACCAACCAAACCTAATGATACGACAATGATGCTACCCTTCTCCTCTCTCTTGACCTGCGGCCGCTGCTAACAGCAGTGTTCATTCTGCATCGGGGTGGCTAATGATGGCTTCCCTGCAGGAGCTCACCCGTCTTATGGATCCCTCGTACCATGCGCTCCGCCCCATGGGTGTTGGTGTGGTGCTCATGTTGCTTGCAGAGCGTGGGATGGGGATGGTTTAGCTGACGGGCCCCTTGTACCTAGCATCTGATGGAGACAAGAGAGATAGACTCGAGATGACCTGAGGCTCGTCAGCGACGATGGACATAACAATGTCGTAGTGTAACTTGTTGGTGAATGGATTGTGAATCGGCCAAAAAATTCAGCTTAAAGGAAACAAAACCAGTTCTTGATGGCTTCCGGACAGAGACAGGTCAACTCCAAGGCGTTGCGTATTGTGACCGACAGGTCACGTTTCCCCGGCGAGAGCGCGTGAGAACGAGACATCGGGGCTCTGAAAAGTTGACGTAAACTGCGAGCCGGATCGGCG